TGTTTACATTTGCAGTTACTGTACATCGGTTCATGATTTATGAAATTTGAACCAAAGCTGTAACCTAATATTAGTCACGGTACAAGTCACTAATAATTTTAGGGTAAATATTTTTCTGAAATACTTCATTTGTCAGTTGCATCTTATAGTATACAAATAATGAATGTTTATGAGTGCAATGGTAAGAATATTTTCATGAGGTGAAAGATGGAATGTTCCATTCAACGAGGCGACAGCCGAGTTGAATGGAACATTCCATCTTTCACCGAATGAAAATATTCTTACCATTGCACGAAAAAACATTCATTATTTGTTTTGTATAATACCAAAATAGACTAATAGATTCGTATGAGAAGCATTTTGAGGGATGCGATTTATCGAAAACACAAAGAGTGCAATTGTACTATACGTTTTATTCCATTGCACTCGCAGAGAGTGCAATGGAACGTATTCCATTGCACTCTTGGGAAATGGAATTTTCTATTCAATATCACGTGACCATAAACAGCCAATTAAACGATCAGAATTCAATAAGGTATTATATGATATATACTGTAAGAATATCTTGAAAAAAAAGCTGTAATTGTACCCTATCTAATAGCTTTGGTTCAATACAATTGGCAACTGGGCTGTCTTAGAATTCATGAAAGACCTTTGCTACAACCCCAAGAAAACATGCCTTTTATCAGGAGATCAATTAAATTCTCTGCTTCAACCAGATTAACCACACAAATGTTATTGTCACCATTGTGACTACCGAGACTTTTTACAAATAATACACTGATAGTTGAGCACCGAGACTCTGACTGACATATCATACTTTGTTTTCAAATATCTTTGGCTTTGGTTAAAAACCAACAATTATACATTCTTAAACATTTTAAATACTTCAGCCTACATAATTTCCATAATGATGGTCAATTATTCCACTTATGTACTGAGAATACTATAATTACTTCTTTACCATGGTCTCAAAAATTGGGTGTTTTGATGCATCATACTTTTGTCAGTAAAATTAAAAACCTATTTAGTCCTATCCGGCTATGTAGAGTTTTATTTGTATTGAGGAGGTAGGGCTTAGAGAGACACAGAGGCTTAATGAATATGGTTACACTGAATTTTGTCAGTAAGTAAATTTCATTTTTTACATCCTGAAACCAAAAATCACCATATTATGCATGAATTACATATCTCTTTCATTTGTCACAGAGTGAACATACCAAATTCAAACAAAATTCACACTGTTTCTAGATGAAATAATCAACCGATTTTTGGGCAAACAATATAATTCATGAGGGGAAAAAATAAATGTTTATATGTGTGCACATAGTTCCAAGATCAGCTAACAAGATTGAAACCAGCTTTCCCAGTTATGCTTGGAGCTGAGAACAGTTAGTTTTGAACACACAATGGCATGGAACTTAATTAATCTAGGTGGCAATATATTGCCTTCTCACCAGCACGATTGATCAAGTCATACACATTCATTACTGCCAATCTCTTTATTATTTATGTCTCATTACAAATACAATATATTTTCATTATCAGCAGTATCATTACAACTTGTGCATCACCAATATCATCACAACTTGTATTTCACTACCATCATCATCATTATTCTCACCATTCTAATTTTATTAGTCAATCAGAATGAATAAAAAATTTCCTATTTTACACCACTCATATTATCATATATTACTTAATTGCCCAAGGTCAGGGCCATTTCACATCACTCCAGGATCTGAATACCCTGCAATCACCTTTTAGATATAATACTAAAAGAGAAACAAACGACAAATGTCTTACTGGCACACTGGAATATCATAATTGCCATAAAATAACTGTCATTTGAAACCACATTCTGCTGTAACAGCACAACTGCTCAAGGTTGCAAGGTAAATAATAGGGATGTAGTAAGGCCATGCAGTATTACTGGTAATTGTCTTTTTACATTTTGCTCACAACCAAAGTCCAATTATATGGAGCAAAAGTTAGAATATCCAGCCACTTTTTATTACTCACTTAATCGTACACTTGACAAGTAAAATTGTCTGGTGTTGGACAGAGAAAAATAACAAAGTATGCCATATTTGATTATCCCATATTCCCATTACTGTAGTGTGACTACACAAGACTCTCCCTTGGATGGGTAAAATTGGGGGCTATGGAGATTTAATGGCAAGAAGTGGGGGAAACATTTTCTCCAGTAAAATTTATGGGGGCCATTGGAAATTTATGGGGGCCATTGGAATTTTATGGGGGCCATTGGAATCATCAACCAGAGTATTGAGGCGATAAAGAAAAGAATACCTGACTGTAAAATTAATGTAATCTAACTTTCTTGTCACACAAAGTTAGGTAACGTTGGCATTTTTACACTTTTCTATTATTATCATACTATTCTGTTAAGTATTTATTGGATGAGTCAGAGACCAATGGATTGGTATGAGGGCAGTTAATTTGTAATTTTTGCATGTATTCATCTATTAACTTTTGACCACTGTAATGGTCAGCCAGTTAAATAAGTATCTTACTGGGGGTACTGCCTAACTATTTTACATGTCAAAGAGAACTCCAGTTATGAAAGATTGAATATTTTCTGAGCAAGCTGGAACAGAAAATTTTGATTTTAGTGAACTAAGTGAAGGATGTAGATAACCAAAAAATATATCAGGCATGAAGGTAGCCCGCGTGCAGGCCCAAGGGAACTGATAGTGGGCCTGCAAGCAAGGCCCGGTATTTTGTAAAACGCCCCTTTTCATAACACGCCCCATTCGCGCGTCAATTGTCAAAAAAGAACCAATGACAGTACCCAAATATTAACAAACAAACTCGCATTAAAATGTTGCGGGGTTTTCTCTGCTTTAATATTCGAAATAGAAACAATGTGTAAATGCCTGTGTTAAAACTCGCAACGCAGTTTTACCACGTTTCCTGATGTAAAGAAGATGTTGTTAAAACTCGCAAAAAAACAAGCAACGCAGTCAGTAATTGCCAAATTTACAAGTGCTCATTTTCAACTAAAATCGGAACAGGCAAATTAAGACGAATTTCAACAGAAAACCAGTCTCAAACTTCAAATCGTGAGGGAAGTCGTGCGACCACATCAGCATTTATAATGTTGCTTCGCTGTCGCCATTGTTATAAATAAATTGTCTCACTTATCAGATCGTGTGTGCAATTCTTGTTGGCGGCGGAAAGTACGAAATTTATTTCAGTTATTTCATTTGGTAAGAACTCTACAAAAGAAGAGAGCGTTCAGAGTCCAGATCGTTTCGTTTCAAACGGCAATTTAATACCGTCTTCTCTTTTGCTCTTTCAGCGAAGCCTTGTAAATCGCAAAGTATTTTGAATAGGCTTACATGCAACTGCATCTCAACATCAACCAAAAGATAATTTTCTTAAGCAACATATAACGTATCAAGTCTGTTTGAAATTAATGAAACTCAAGTAAAGGTTACTATAGTTTTATACCCCATTCGTAATAAATGTTGCTATTCCAACGGAAAAAACATCTCTTCCTTCAAGTAAACAATAAACAGTCTGTTCTTGTTCCATTTGTAATCGAAAAAAGTGATCAATTTTCGAATTTTAAGCTTATCGAGAGCCTTTGTCTATGCCTTTGTGATGAATCACTGACCTAATTATAGAATCCAACAGCAAACAGCCAATCAGAATGCTGCGTTCGTGGGCGAACGCGGAAAGTACAAAATACCGGGCCTTGCTTGCAGGCCCACTATCAGTTCCCTTCAACCTGCTCCCTTGGGCCTGCACGCGGGCTAGCATGAAGGAGGGTTTATATCCAAAAGCGAAAGATGGAGGAGTAATTAAACGACGAAAATTAATTATACAAACAGACAGCCACGAATCTGCTGGAATTTAGGATATATAAACTGATAAATATTAAAAGATGTGTGAATATAATTTTATATATGCATCATAAAATCGTTTACCTCGAATATACTGCATTCTTTATAGCATAATTCAAAATCCATGTGACTTCAAAGTTTATAATTTCCATCAAAATAAAAACAAGCCTAAAATCTGCTGTCTGTTGTTTTAAAATATGAATTTTCAAACAATTGTTATACATTCATATTTTAAAAATCAAAGGCAAACTTTTATAGTTCATGCATTGCATGGGATAACATGACCTAAATAAGGCCAGGTTACAAAAATGTCCAATATTTTTGGACACACGTGACCAGTGTTTACCAGGGCCTTTGCTTCCCGTACCAGAGCCTCTGAACCGCGCAAAGGCCCTGGTTACGAGGTTGCAAAAGAAAGTCCACAAGAATTTTTAATTTGTGCCCTGACGATTCGGCAAAAAATAGTGTTTGCATCAAAAGAATCGGATACCAAGATCAAATATGATGAAGGGCTTGTCCAAGGCCTATTCTTGCATGCTTTAGAAACTGGCCTTGCCGATGAAACCATTCGGGCAAAAATTAGGCCACTCCTTACGAACGAATCAGTGGCTGATGAAGAGCTAGTTGAAGTAATGAGCTCTGCGATGGCTGCTGAATCAGAAAGAGCCACGAAGTTCAACCAGGTGGGCCGAGTAAAGTCCTCACCAAAAGTCTCAAAGATAGAAACCGGAGTGCCACCAAGACCTGCAGAGTCACCAAATGCACATGATAGTGAGAATGTGAGATACTGACCACATTAAAAGCGATCCAGGCAGAATTGAATACAGTTCAGTCCGAGGTGGCTAGCTTGCGGACGAAAGTAGACCAGAAAGATTCCCCTCAAGGACACCCCCTTCCAGTACCTTCATGACGGGTCGTGTTGGTCAAAACCGAAGAAATGATGGCCGTCAAGGTGATTACCCTCCATTGTGTAAAAAATGCCACGAAGAGAATCAAGTTAATTGTCCTCATTGTTTCAAATGTGGAGGAAGAAACCACACTGCCCGATATTGCAGGTCGGGAAACGAGAGGAGGCCACCCCTGAGGGACTAGGAGTAGCCGCGTCAAACCAGAATAAGTCCCACCGATGCAATGGTTGTAACCAAGTGGAAGTTCACGCTAACTTTAAACGTTGTTCTACCTGCAAACTGGTGTATTATTGCTCAAAATCATGTCAAAAGACATTGGAGTGAACACCAAATATTTTGCAATGCCATTAAGGAACAACTAAATCAAAACAATGAAACTCTCAGAGGACTGGGAGATAGTTCAGACACGGAAATGTTTGCAAGTCACCTTTCTCCAAAGAAACACGCTCCAATTGCTAAACTTGTTGGTCGCAAATGCTCTGTTCGGTGTCTTGTAAATGATGTTGACATGGAAGCGTTATGGGACACTGGAGCCCAGGTCTCCATTTTCCCGGAACAGGTACTGTCTGACAATTTTTCTGATTTGAAAATACGTGATATTAGCGAATTGCTTGGTGCGGGTTCTGGTCTGAATTAAACTGCGGCAAATGGGACACCAATCCCTTATAAAGGCTGGGTGGAAGCTAGATTTAGATTAAACCGAGAAGATGAAAAAGAAGTAACAGTACCATTCTTAGTAACACCCGAACAGTTGGAACAACCAATAATTGGGTACAATGTTATTGAACTGTTTTTGCAAGAAGGTGAAAACTACTCAGATAATTTATCAGTGGCACACCATATAGTGTCAAGTTTTAATAATGTTGGAGTGAAAGATGCTGAGCAATTGATAAACATTATCCAAAGAAATGATGAGGAGTTGTTTTGCCAAGTAAAAACATCCAAACGTCACATTACAATACCGAAGAAAGCTACCAAAACAGTACCCTGTCGAGCAAATACGGGAACGATTGAGAATACAAGACCAGTGCTTTTCGAACCTGATGAAAAACAAGAGTGGCCTCCCGGATTAATAGTTCATGTTCATCTGTGAAAAAGTGAAAATCCACAATCATGCAAGTGCAAGTGACAAACGATACAATGCATGACATCGTACTACCTGGACGGACTGTTTTGGGAAGCCTTGAACTTATTCGTTCTGTTACACCAATTGAGGTGAAATTAAAGGAAAATGTAGATGAGAAAAGAGCTGATATGAATTTTGGAATGGAGAGACAGAGGACTAGTCAAACTAAGGTCCCTTGCCATTCAGCTGTAAATTCTGAGAAAGAACAATTCATACCGGAAGTCGATTTAAGTACTCTCACACCCGAACAGCAAACTTTGGTAAAAAAAAATGTTGTATGAGGAGCGAGATACTTTTTCGATCGACGATGACGACATTGGGTGCATCAAGGACTTGAAAATGGAGATAAATCTTACGGACAGACAACCGGTTCAGAAAAAATTACGCGTCCATTCCACGTCCACTTTACCCGGAAGTGAAACACTATCTGGAAGACCTACTGAACAAAAACTTTATCAGACGATCGAAGTCACCTTACTCTAGCAGCGTGGTGTGCGTCAGGAAGAAGGATGGAACCATGAGACTATGTGTCGACTACCGTGCACTGAATAAAAAGACCAGACACCCCATCCCCAGGATACAAGAAACCTCAGATAACCTAGGGGGAAACTCCTGGTTCAGTACATTAGATCAAGGCAAAGCGTATCATCAAGGCTTTGTCAGCCCAGATAGTCAACCATTCACAGCATTTGTGACGCCGTGGGGGCTTTACGAGTGGGTACGCATCCCATTCGGACTAACGAACGCGCCAGCTAGTTTCCAACGGTTCATGGAAGGATGCTTAGGGAATTTACTTGACCAGATATGTATTCCCTATCTCGACGATATTATTATATTTTCCAAATCATTCGAAGAGCATGTTGAACACGTACGTCTAGTTCTGCAGAAACTGCAACAACATGGTGTTAAACTGAAGCCAGGAAAATGCAGGTTATTCAAGCGTCAAGTATCGTTTCTTGGGAGAATTGTATCAGGAAAGGGGTATAACATTGATCCAAAAGCAACCGAAGCTGTTACCCTGTTAAAGAGCAAAATACCGCGGACTGTCGGAGAGGTTCGAAGAGTAATTGGGTTGTTAGGAGTATACCGACGTCACATCAAAGATTTTTCGAAGATTGCTAAACCCATCTATGAGCTGTTGGAAGGGAAAGTGAACACTAATCAGAACTCCAGGAAGAATGGGCAACTGCCATCGAACCACCCTATTCAGTGGTCTATGAAACACCAGACGGCATTAAATACATTGATTGATTGCGTCACCTCACCCCCGATTCTAGCGTACCCTGATTACAGTTCACCATACGTTGTTCATACAGATGCTTCCCAGAACGGGCTGGGAGCCGTGTTATATCACGCAAGCTGAGAAGAACTACCATTTACATGCGGGGAAGTTAGAGTTTCTTGCTCTAAAGTGGGCGGTCAGTGAACAATTCAGGGATTATTTATATTATGCACCATCCTTCGTAGTCTATACCGATAATAACCCACTGACTTATATTCTCTCGACAGCGAAACTTAATGCGACCGGTTTGCGTTGGGTTGGGAAACTTGCAGACTTTGAGATCAAATATAGACCGGGAAAAGTAAACATCGACGCGGATAGCCTGTCCAGTATTCCTGCGGACTTCGAAAGATTCATGGACTATTGTTCTGAAACGGTTTCAAATCCGGAGTTCAACGCAGCAGTCTCTCAGATTTCTTCCGTCAGCAATGGTGATTCCCCCTGGATTACATCAGTTACGGATCAGCCGGAGGCCCTCGAGACAGACAAGTTATTCTTGCCAGAGCGAGAAAACACCATCCAGTTCAAACAGACAGAGATCGCTAGAGCGCAACGAGAAGACCCAACGACAAGTCGGATTCAGTGGTATGTACGGGCGCGAAAGAAACCAACTCTCGAAGAAAGGCAACAAGAAACCCCTGAACTAAAGAAATACCTCCGGGAGTGGCATAATCTTATGATCGACAGGAAGACCGGTATTTTGTATCGAGGCCAGCAACTTGTACTACCAACGAAGTATAGATCTTTAGTATTTCGAGAACAACACGAGAAAATGGGACATCTTGGTCCAGAACGCGTTTTCAACCTCGCGAGAGAACGGTTCTATTGGCCTGGAATGAAGAACGATATTGAACATTTTATCACACACGTATGTAGTTGTGTTAAACAGAGAAAACCCACCTTTACCAACAGAGAACCACTTCACTCCATTTCTACGTCCGCACCATTCGAACTGGTATCAATTGATTTTGTCCATTTAGAGCGAAGTTCGGGAGGGTTCGAGTATATACTGGTCATAGTCGACCACTTTACCAGATATACACAAGCGTATTCCAACACGGAACAAGACCGCGGCCACGGCAGCCGATAAAATTTACAATGATTTCATTCCGCGCTTCGGCTTCCCGTCTAGAATACATCACGACCAGGGAGGGGAGTTTGAAAATAAACTGTTTCGTAGACTAGAGCAGCTCTCGGGAATCGCACATTCAAGAACGACACCCTATCATCCACAGGGAAATGGCCAGGTGGAGCGGATGAACAGGACTTTGCTACACATGTTGCGAACGTTACCCGAAGTGTACAAGTCTAATTGGAAGGATCATGTGAACAAACTAATACACGCGTATAATTGTACGAAGCATGAATCTACTGGCTTCTCCCCGTTCTTGCTACTATTCGGTAGACCGCCTCGTCTTCCCATTGATTTGATGTTTAACTTAACAAGAAAAGAAGAATCAATCGGTTATCCAGCTTATGCCAATAAATGGAAGAAAGCAATGCAGGAAGCTTACATGTTAGCATCCAAGTCTGCGGAGAAAGCGGCGTCTAAGGGAAGGAAACAGAGCGATAAACGCGTAAGGTCGACTGTCCTCTTACCTGGTGACCGAGTGCTTGTTCGGAACCTATCACCACGCGGAGGTCCAGGCAAAATACGAGCGTTCTGGGAAGAGGAGATTCACGTAGTGGTATCGAGGAACAATCCCGAGAGTCCTGTTTATGATATCAAACCCGAATCAGGAAAGGGAAAGATACGCACGTTGCACAGAAATTTACTGTTACCTTGTGATTATTTACCGACAGCAACGCCAGAGACGAAGCGGGTAGAGAAAGTGAAAGAACAGACCCCGATTATACACACCCCAGAGGATTCAGAATCCGATTCGGAGGGGGAGGAGGGACTGTCGCTGCCTCCAAACGAAATGGACGAACTTGTACAGTTAAGCTTACGACCAGAGTCGGCAAACAACGCGACAGTGGACCCAAGTACAAATGGCGATATTAACCAGAGTAGGGAAGTACATGGTAATGAAAATGATGCGAACAGGCTGAACATACAAGTAGAAGAAACGATGGAAACGCCAGGTGATGTCGAAGAAACACCGCCGCAACCGGTTCGTCCACAAAGGCAAAGACAGCCACCGTTACGTTTTGGATACAATGCACCTGGTTGTCCTACGGGTGAATTTCCTTTCATTTGGCAAGACCCTAACGTGGGATTAGTTCAAATACGAGATCCGTGGTTTGACCCACCTTGGATTGGACCGATACAACCTCCGATGATATCAGTACCGTGGATGAGTCCAATACAGAATCCCATGTTCCACGCACAAGTTATGAACCCTATGATATCACTACCGCCTTTTGGTTACTACCCAACGTATTAGAAGACAAAGAGGAACAAGTAAACATATTAAACGTTCACATTTATATTTAAAAAAAAACAACACATTTGCTTCACTTAGGATTTCATTGTACTTGATACAAATTAGCTAAAGTAAGGTAACTTACGTATTTAGGATCTATAGTGTCTTGAACAAAGAGATTACGTTTCGGTTAGTGAGCTGGCCTGATCAACCAACTCGAGTGTCTGAATTGTTAAGGATACTTATAACTGGGAACAGTTGTGTTAAGAAGATACGGATCTAAAATGTCAGAGACGACATTCAAGAAGGAGGGGAGAGTGTAGCCGTGTGAGAAAACAATTAAGAAACAGCTTTAAAGACTGGAACTTAGTCAGCGGTTATGTTGTAGAAACGGGCTCAGTAATATAGTCTAGCGCTTAGTCAGCGGTTATGTCGTAGAAACGGGCTCAGTAATATAGTCTAGCGCTTTTTAAAACGATAAGACAACGAACACATGTTTTGTAAAAGTTTTTTTAAAATACTCCTTTAAAAGTGAAATAAATGTAAAACAAAAGGAACTCGGAGTAACATATAGGTATAGGTAAATCACAAATTTTGCAAATAAGTTTGGTGACCCATCTTAGGATGTAGATAAAAATTTCAAAGCTCATCCAATCTTACCAAATTTATTTCATGACCCACCTACCCAATTTAAATTGGGAAAATACACTTTTATAATAAAAAAAAAACTTGCAGGTATGAACATTGTAAATATGCACTGGCACTGTATTGGCATACATAATTCCACCAAGCTTGACCAATACATTCATCACCAATTACGATACTGAGCTGCTCTCCAGGTGGTTGTATTTCCTGTGATTCGACCACATCTTGTTGTTGTATAAAACAAAGCACTGGCTTCAATAGCATCATTTGCATTTGATAAATTGGATAGTTTTGTTTACTTTTATTATTAATATCTTTATATAATATATAATTAACATGGGTTTTTGTTTGGTGGCCCAACCGTAGACATACAAAAAAATTGGCGGCCCATCGAAACTGCCCAAAAATAAAACATGGCCCATCCCAAATCACTCCAGCCCACCCTAGCAGTTACTTTATGACCGGTCACTAACCAACTGAGTTACGGATTCCAGTTGCTGAGCATTAACCACAAATTCGTGTATATATAAGGAAATCCGTGGTTTTTGAATACGATGATCGATTCATCAATCTGATGATTCATGCAAGTGGTTGATGTACATGTGGGTAATGTTCAGGAACAGGGACGCCGCAGCGTATGGGCAACATCGCCTTTGGGGACCGAATGGGGGCAAAGGCGCTTTTTCATTTTAGGGAAATAATTGAGATGTTTTAAAAAATCATTTCGCCGCATGATTCCGAAATCACGACTGAAAATACGGGTTTTGTAGGGGGAAATGTACATCATTTTTCTCACAGGGGTTGATTTGACCGCGAAATCGCTAATTTTGGTGGTTAAAAAAACATTTACTACGACGTTCCCAAAAAATATTTTCGACTGGCGGGGGGAGGAGGCACATCGAAATTTATGAGTCCGTTAAAAAGTGTCCCACCAGAAAAATCTGCCCTTCCCCTTGTCCTCACGTCGTTGCTGCGTCCCAGAACTGAAGATATAAACGGAATGATAAGCATGAATTTTGGAGAGCCCTTGCCTAGACTATTTTCTTATTGTCCAAATTATATATATATATATATATATATATATATATATTATATATATATATATCGTATATGTATATGTATATGTATATGTATATGTATATGTATATGTATATGTATATGTAGAATTTGGGAATTTGAAGGTATTTTGTTGAAACTTTAAATATTCTTCGAGTGTTTTGTTGAATTATTTTTCAAATTGAAGAAAAATTCTCCAGTTTGTCCATAAGCACGCGCAAGTTGGACGGTTGATTTCTGGCGTGCGCAAACGCTCTACGTGATACTCATACGTGATACTCATACGTGATACTCATACGTGATACTCATACGTGATTCAAAGAACGACTTTACTTGACAATTTACATTGAAGCCACACCTCAAAGAGATTTGTGATAAATACATACGCAATGCCGTCATACTCTGCACTTGGAGAACCAACCCTGTTGAACAAGACACCTACCCCACTTACAAAAAGACACAGATGGCTTAAGACCAGGATTCAGTACTACAGAAACACTTCTGCGTCATACAACATTACTACTACCGCCATACTAGTTTGTGGAGATGTGCATCCTAACCTAGGACCGACGCCGATTAAGTAAAGTGGGACAAAACTGAATTGTTTACGGACCTTGTATTTAAACGCACGAAATCTAAAGGCAGTCGTAGAATCACCCGACGATGGCGGTAAGAGAATCCCTAAGCTGAACATATTTCAAAACCTTGTTTACCTGGAACAGTATGATATTATCTGTGTTTGTGAGACGTGGCTAAATGACCTGATACTCGATAACGAAATCCTACCTGGTTACACCATCCACAGAAAAGATCGTCACGATAACGCGAGAGGTGGTGAAGTTCTTGTCGCTGTAAAGAACGAACTTCGCTCATTTAGAAGAGCGTCATTTGAAGGAGCTCAAAGTGAATTAATAATGATTGAACTTTATCCCGCCAATTGTTCAAAATTCATTCTAGGAGTTTTCTATAGACCACCAAACTCTGATGACGATATATTAACGGAATTGAAAGCTTCTCTTGATCGTTTAAATGAGTCATGTCAGCTTGTTCTGGTCGGTGATTTCAATCTACCTAACATTGATTGGTCATTGGATTCCCCTTCTCCAAATTCTGAAAGCGGTTTCAAAGAAGAGCTTTTCTGCGAGATTATTACAGACCAGTTCCTGCATCAAATGGCCAATGGTCCGACACATCTGCGTGGGAATAAACTGGACTGTGTTTTCTGCAATATTCCGGAGCTCATCACCAACGTCAACTGTATAAATCCAACTAATCTATTTCCATCTGATCATTACCTTATCGAATTCGACATCAAACTTTGTTTTCAAAGAGCAAAAGCGGTAAGACGAACAATATACGACTTTAAAAACGCAAATTTCAATGCTGTCAGACAACATCTCCTGTCCGTCCTCTCTACTCCGCCATAGTTCATCTTTCGGATGTAGATGAATGCTGGGAAGTTTGGAAAGACCTGTTTCTTAAGACCATAGATCAATTCGTACCTAAAAAGACAGTTCTAGACATCAATACACCACCATGGATAGATCGTGAAGTAAAGCATCTAATAAATAAGAAATATACAGCCCTCCGGCAATATCGGCAGAAAAGAACAGAAGTTAGAAAACGCAAATTACGACAATTGACACAAGAAACCAAAGATTTGATTAAAGTTAAGCGACAGCAGCATCTGGAAAGAGTTCAAGGTTCGCTCACACATTCACCAAAGTTATTCTGGTCCTACCATAAACATATTCTCCGCAGTAGGAATGCTCCATCATCCAACACCTATAACACCGTAACTGCATCAACGCCGAACAAAAAGGCTGAAATTTTTAACGAATACTTCGCCTCTGTTTTCCTTCCAAAGTCCACAATAAAGAACATAAACCTGGACTGTATGAATCCAAAAACGTGTGAGGAAATATCTAGTATTGAAATTTCGGAATGCGAAGTAGAGCGTTACCTTAACAACTTGGACACATCAAAAGCTTATGGTCCCGATGGAATACCACCACGTCTACTTAAAGAATGCTCTAAGAAAATATCATCAAGCCTCTGCAGTTTGTTCAACAAATCCAATAGAAACAGGTCGCGTTCCAAGAGAGTGGAAGAAAGCAAATGTGATACCAATTCACAAGAAGGACTGTGTCGAACCGGTGACAAACTATCGACCTATTTCTCTGCTGCCAGTTCTTGAGAGATGCGTCTTTAACAACATCTATCCATTCATTCGTGTACTAATCAATAACGTTCAACATGGTTTCTTACGGAATCGTTCATGCGTGACACAGCTTCTATAAGTGTATTACACGACATAGGGAAAAGTCTGGATAACAATAGACAGGTGGATGTTTTATACCTCGATTTCTCGAAAGCGTTTGACTCGGTAGATCACGATATTCTGCTACAAAAGCTACAAATACATGGTATAAATGGTTCTCTTCTACGTTGGTTCGAAAGCTATTTGAACGACAGACAGCAGAGAGTTGTTATCGAGGGCGCAGCATCTTCATGGTCTGCTGTTACATCTGGTGTACCGCAAGGTAGCATTCTGGGACCATTACTTTTCGTAATATTTATAAATGATCTTCCCGACAATGTATCATCGAGTACAAACTCCGCATTGTATGCAGATGACGCAAAATTATACAGTGAAACTAGATCAGTGGACAACTGCCAGTCATTACAAGAAAACTTGACCATGCTGGAAAAATGGAGTACGAAATCTAGGATGAAATTCAACACAGGAAAGTGCAAGGTGTTGACAGTTACAAGAAAGCGGAAGCCGATTGAATTCCCATACCGTATGTATGGAAATGAGTTATCATCATGCAAAGCCGAAAAGTTCTTGGCTTCTTGTATCTAGTGATCTGAAATGGGGCCCTCATATATTAAAGATGGTTGCAAAGGCAAACAAAATGCTTGGTCTCCTTAAAAGAACATGCTTTGAAATTACGAACACCCAAGTTAGGCGGGCCTTGTATTTGACGTTGGTTAAAACACAGCTCACGTACGGATGTGAAGTCTGGTGTCCCGGAAATATTTAACACACAAAAAAGGCTGGGGCCCAACAAAAATTTTTCAGGGCCCCCCAGCAACTCGGGGCCCGGGGCAATTTGGCCCCTCCCCCCCTGCCCCCCCCCCCCTCTGGGCGGCCCTGGTAAAACTGCTCCTTCGAACAGCTTCGACACTCTCTCCTCCTTCAAAACATACCTCCACAAGTCTTACCTCCAACTTACTGCTACTGCTTACACTCCTGACGTACCTAGCTCACACTCATTGATCACGACTGAATAATATCTTCTAGATCAGTCGTTCTCTTCTCCTCTCTCTTAATTTCTGTACTTCTTCTAGTGTACTTTTTCTATTCTATATTAATGTGTTGTTTTGTCTGAACTGTCCGGACTAATTAATGGCGAGCACCATGCATGGGACCTAGTCTCGTTTGTGCTTCTCCATCTTTGGCACGTTTTTTAGATATTGTTATTCTTGTGTTAGTTTGTGCTAGTTATGTACAATAATGTGTACCTGTTTGCATGCGTGCCAAACAAAGCTGTTAAATTAAAGAAAAAATAAAAATATATATTACAAAAAAGGTTGTCCTTTAAATATCTCAAAATTTGAGAGCGCAAGGGATGATGGGTAACTCTCTTAAACTCGGGAATTTTGCTTTGCAACAATCAATGCTAGGGCATATAATGAATATTTGCGATGTAGGGCTATTTGGTTCACTAAGCTAATGCCTAATCCGTTTGGCTGCAAATAAGCAATGCCCATCGTAGCTTGCACGCTCCATGTGTAAGTTTTACGTTTTTGCGATATATACTTTAAATGAAGGCTAATATATACTCCCACCTCTGTCTCCTTTATCTCCTTTCGCTCCGAAGATTCCTGGATCACCTTTTTGACCTAGAAAAAAACCCGTAATCATGCAGCAAACAATAATTGGCAGAAAGTAAACTACTGCATATTCTATTAGTATTTGTTCCCCAATTATTGCAGTTTCGTATAACCTACCTCTTCGCCCTCGTCTACCTCGAGAACCTAAATTATTGCAAATAAATAATGTGAACAGAATGTTTTATATCATGCTTTACTGACAAAAGCATGCAAATTAAAATTGATCTTACCTTTTTGTCCTTTTCCTCCTTTCTGTCCTCTCCCTGTAACAGAATGGTTATCCAGTTTACTATTGGTAAAGGAAATACAAATACAAATGATAATAAATACATATGATAGCAAATACAACTAAGAGCTCAACAGTACAAGTATTATTTGAAAAAAAGTTCCCAAATTCTCTATATGCATTTTTATTAATGAATGGTCATGACATGGGCCGTTACATTCCACCGTAGTTACGGCAGTATAAACGTAGCCTTTACATTTGCCTAAAAGAAAATTATATTATTTGTGATTCAATTTCTTTGATTACAAACACTAGTTTCATATTACAATATTATAAATCTCCTAAAGCGTGATAAAAATAAAGTACGTCTCACCGCAACAACTTGGTTTGGCATTTCTCTTATTTCGCAAAGTCATTGGTACTCCATCATCATTGTTTTCTTCGTCAGTGTCCTCCTCATTTTCATTCATTTCCTATAAACGTGAAGTCAATTGTATTGGAAATTTATTTTCGAAGGTGGCATTGCTATTGTCTATATACCAGCAGTGTTCTGACCTTTGACTTGCTTGTCTTGTATTGAGATTGTCTTGTCTTGTATTGTTGTATCTCAAAATCGCTGTTTTGTTTCTCCCTGTCTCCATTTTGTGTATGCATGTATTCATAATTTGTCAATATTTCCCTCAGTTCTTTATTTTCTCGTTCTTGCTGTGCAATATGGCTGCTCATTTGCATTTGAATATGCGTCATTGCTACGAACAATAATATTGTAAATATGACGTGAACAATCGTAAAGAGAAACATAGAACGTCCTTTAAACATTTCAACCGGCTCCTTTCTTTCTAATTCTCTTGTTTTCATCTTTGAAGCTGTATGCGTATGGTGTGTGCAAGAAAAATAGGCGAACTCCAGATGAAAGGAAATTCAGCGTGTTGTTCCTGGAATTAATTTAGCATCAACACTGCATGAAGAGCTTGGATATCTGATAGGCCTAATTTTTATTTACAATATTCTGTTGGCTCTTCTTAGTGAATATCAAGTTACGTGCAGCAGGTAAATTGCAAACCTTCGAACTTTCAACTTTGTGGTTCACGTCAACTAGTTCATGTACATACGATCGATTCTTTATTTCTTAATTCAGTAATCCTTTATTTATGAATTTTCACTTTTTAGTAACAAGCAGTTATGCTGCAATGGGCTATGGCTGCCGTGGTATGTGCTTTACCTCTACTGAAATGTTTCCAATTTATTTGGCTCTACCAAATACTGCAAGGTTTTGTCAGGTACTCTGATGTCTCTTGTGTAGTAGTAACATTGGACGAAAAATGTCGCGTTTACTTGATCTGCAGAAAGAATAGTTCAGATCTGATAACGGAGCGTTTATGTAGTTTTTATTTTTGTCCAGGTAATGGAGTTATAAACCAGTAACTCCAAGTTTTTAGATAATCAGATGGATTTGGTCAAATTGAAGTGTAAACTGAAAAATGTAAATCACATTACAGAATATATTACCAAGGAAGCAGGAAGTTACTTATAAATGGGAGCCTCATTTCCTGCAGAGCATCTCATGCAGTAGATGTGGCATGTTTTATATTGGGGAAACTGGAAGATCTTTGAGGCCAAGGGTTGTTATGAAGTTTTTTAGCGGGCAAAATATCTGAAATGTATCAATCGAGTTTATGCGCTATAAATTGATGTTATGTGCTATACATTGGTGTTATGTGCAAATATATCAATGTCGTAAACCGATACAACTAAAAGATAAACCGATACAACTAAAAGATGGGGAAACGGAAGTAAATACAAATAAAAGATGAGGAAGCGGAAGTAAATCGGAAAAACGGAAGTTGAGCGACGCGCGCGTTTGGCTTCCTAATACAGAAAACGTTTTTCGTGAATTGGTTGATTTAATAAGAAATGCTGAACAAAGTCGCACTCGTTGTGACTCTCCAGACGACAAAATCCTGAACATTTGGTACTCTGCTCTGTCTCTCTTCTGCCATGTTTTTCAATGTGTATTCACTAGCTTGACGCCACATGGCACGCGCGATTTTGCCGAGTCGCTCTACTTCCGTTATTCCAATTTACTTCCGCTTCCTCATCTTTTAGTTGCATTTACTTCCGTTTCCTCATCTTTTAGTTGTATTTACTTCCGTTTCCTCATCTTTTATTTGTATTTACTTCCGTTTCCTCATCTGTTAGTTGAATCGGTTTATCTTTTGGTTGTATCGGTTTATCTTTTGGTTGTATCGATTTATCTTTTAGTTGTATCGGTTTATCTTTTAGTTGTATCAGTTTATTTTTTAGTTGTATCGGTTTATCTTTTAGTTGTATCGGTTTATGACATTGATGTATTTGCACATAACGTCAATGTATAGCACATATAACATCAATTTATAGCGCATAAACTCGATTGATACATTTCGGATATTTTGTTCGCTAAAAAACTTCATAGATTGTTGAGCATCGGCGTGCAATAATTGGCAATTTGCAATAATTGGCAATTTGCAATAATTGGCAATTTGCAATAATTGGCAATTGACACAGTTTAATAGTGCTTAGTGGCAATCACAGTGTTTCAGATATGAAAATGCAGAGCCCTCTGTCCCATTTCTGGAAGCGACGATAGCCACAAAAGACATGAAATGCGCCTCATTTCCAAACATGGCACTATCTACCTCTGTGGCATTAATGAACATTTTTTTCCCTTTTTTAACAGATGTCAACATTGGCCAATCACACAGATTGTTTACGTTTGCAAATTTACTTGTCAAAATGAAATAAGGGGCGGGCCATTAGGGCCGCCCCTAATATAGATTGGTTTAATTAAGTTTGCAAAGTCTGTGGGAATAGCGCTAGGCGTAGGGCAAGAGACATCGTCGTCATAAGTAGTTTGCAATCCGTGTGCGAGAAAACTACGAAATATTGTAGATACGTACAAATATAATTAGTTTCAACCGTGATGTCAAATGTTAAAGTTTCGAGGGATGCAGGGAAGAGAAAGGTGTCTGAAGCCGTCACTTCAGAGAGAGCAAGTCCTGTTCATAACTCCATATAGCATTCACAAAAATTCTCGTCTGGCTGAAAATGATTAGCTACAAAATCATGAAGAAAATATCTATCTGTCGTCGATGAAAACGAACACGCTCGTGAAAGAGACGCTGCTAACAGACAGCAATCCAACAAAGACACCACATGCAGTCAATTTCTCTAGAGCTTCATGAACAAATTTCGTAAATACCTTTATTGTTCAACCGTAAATCGTGGCCTTTTAAGCTCTTTTGAATGCAAAACTCAAATAAACACCTCTCATTATATGATGCATCCGCCGTGTTTGTTCATAATTTTAATATAAATTAGCATATTTTTCCATTTTGATCCAATCAGATTTCTCGTTCTCTGGGAGAACGAGTAAATACGGCAAAGCATGCATGGGGTTTCGTGTAGGCTGTCCTTTCCCTGGGAGCCGCTACGCAGGCTACCGTATTCCGTACTTCATATAGTTTTTGTATATTTGTGTATATATATATATATATATATATATATATATATATATATATATATATATATATATATATTTTTTTTAGTAAAAATTTTTTCCTGACGAGTGCGTTGCAATTGCTTTTCAGGGACTTTATCTCAATTTTTCATGCCAAATTTCGGTACTTAGCCCCAAAACAGATATCTTGTCCTTTGCGCGGAAATACTTAACACACAAAAAAGACTGGGACCCAACAAAAAAATTTCAGGGGCCCCCAGCATCTCGGGGTCCGGGCCAATTTTCCCTCCTCTGCCCCCTCTCGGCGGCCCTGAAACGGACACAAATTGCTAAGAAAGATCTCGTAACTTTTTACACCACCTGTATTCTCGCCCGATCACAGAGTTCGCCTCATGTCCTGTGTTTCACAATGGTTTCAGTGCCAAATTATTTATCAGATGATTTGGAAAGGATACAAAAGCTTGCCTTGCGGATAATATTTCCTTGCTCTAGCTATACTGAGGCCCTGGAACTTTGTTGTTTACCATACCTATATGACCGTAGAGAAAGTTTGACAACGAATCTCTTTGAAAAACTATGTAGTAATGCAAACCATAAGTTACATCATCTACTGCCAGAGATAAATACATGCACCGTTGATCTAAGAAACCGTCGCAAGTTCAATGACCCTTATTGTAAAACCAACAGACTAAAAGACGTTAATCGATCAAAATTACTTTTTAACACAACATTCAAACACTCATTAATAATTCATAAGCTTATTGGCAAATCATATCAACCATAATATATCACGTGCAGTGGCTTTAGTATAGGTAATAGCATGGTTTCGAGTGCAATTTGGATATAACATGCACCAGTGAGTTTTTCAAAGACCTCGAGTGCATGTTTATCCAAATTTCACGAGAAACCATGCTATTACTTATTAATAATTTACATAAAAATGTTCGAGACAATTGTAGTTTTAACTTACGCGTTTATAGCGAACCTCGTAGCGAACATTCCACCGGCAAACTTTTCTTGGCTTTGTTATATTACATTATGCAACGCTAACAGCTTGAAAATTTCACTCAACTATGTAATTGTTGTTAGTCTTGTTTAAGGTCAATGCTTTTCCATTTAAAAATAAAGATAAAAGCCATATTTTTCACGCGAAAGCAACTTTTACTTCACTGTGGCGCGGCGCCATGTTTGTTTTGTTTTGAAGCAATCTGTGACCGTTACTTCTTTAAACTAAATTGCTTTAAACTGATTGATTGATTTAATCATCACAATGTTTTTCCACCAATCAGATCAGTTTGTTACAGATTTTTGCACTGTGATTACAGAAAATTGCACTGTGATTACAAAAAATTGCACTGTGATTACAGAAAATTGCACTGCTGTTTGGGATTAACTGCACTGAAATCAACCAATCACAGTCGAGTAATATCTTTATGTATATTATTAAACCTGATAAAACACTCCTAATTAGTATTCTTTATATAAAGAATACTAATAAGGCAGTATCTATTGTAGTCGTGTCCTCATTAGTATTCTTTATATAAAGAATACCAATAAGGCAGTATGTCTACTGAATTTGTATTCGTGTTTGAGGCCGTTTAATAAACTCGCAGGTCGTGTTTATTAGGTCTAAAGTCACTCGCGCGCTGCGCGCTCGTGTCTTTAAACCTAACAAGACGCCCGCTCGGCGTTAACCTTGGGTCGGTGTCACTCGGTGGATAGGGCATTGTCATAGTTCGATAGTTTAATAGTTCACTAGTATAAATCACGATAGTTTAATAGTTCACTAGTAATTAGTATAAATGGTGAATCTGCAGTCAATCAAAGCTCCGTTTTAACATTTTATTGATAATAGTTAAATACAGGAACAATTTAGAGAATTTACTGACGCAATTATTTAACTGTATTTATTCATTATTTCGGGGATATTTTGTGGCGAGTGAATGCTATACATAGCTACTTCACTACTTCATCTTGTATTTAGTAACACTAACAGACAATATTATCAGTCTATTTGTTGATTGCACATAGCAGAACGACAGTCACTTATTTTTAAAGTCAGATATTTTTAAAATATATCAAAGTACCGAAAATATAATTAGGTGCATATAACTGACCCATCATTAGTAATAGTTGTACCACAGTCGAAGAATTAATGAGTGGACAGTTGGCAATATTGTTGTCTACCAGTTACAGTAAGAACCATCCATAAAATGCTTAGCAGTATCAAACAAGTGAAAGTTGACCGCGGTATTCCCATGCTATGCATACGAAGTATTGTACATTATATCAACATATACTCGAGAATAGTTATCCAGCTAAACATGTATGTCAAAATTATCACATCTTCTGGTTTTAAATCAACAATTTTGACGGATTTTGTGCAAGGACAGCTTCGGGTTCCGTTTCGCTTTGGCCGATGCTTGAAATTTCCCGGAAGTACACTTATTTACCGGAAGTTGTCGTCTCCTCCGCAGGCTCTTCGACTACGCGTGCGCTCGACACAAAATGGAAAAAAATAGGAGCCGAATTTATGACCTCGGTGTCGTACCGACCCGAAGTAATAAAACACTCCTGCTCGTTTATTAAACAGTACTTAACATCTGTATACATTCTATTTTTAGAACTAGAAAATACATGCATGCAGAAACCCTCGCCTTGCTGACAAAACCATTGTATTTTCCGAACATGAAGTATCTAAAGTAGTTGTCAAGGTAACACGATAATTTTTTAAGAATATTCTTACGAATGAAAAATCGCCTAAAATTATCACTTTTAATTACAAAATTATCAATTTCCCAACATATATATGTTAGGTATGTTATTATACGTAATATAAGCTTCAATTTAAGGTAAAATTCAACCACAAACGCTTCGCAAAACGTTTTAAAGTGTTCTTTATAAAACTAAATAACACTACATGTGAATGATCCCCCTTGGATCACAGCTAATTTTAAGATTCTTATTAAAAAACGCCAAGCAGCATTTTCTAACGGCAATAACGAACTGTTTAGGTATTACCGCAACCGAGTTAATCGCGAAAGAAAAAAATGCCGTGAAAAGTTTTATTCGTTGAAGGTTGAACATCTAAAAAAGTCAAAACCAAGTCGTTGGTGGAAAGAAGTAAAACAGATTGATATTACTAACAATCAGACACACAAACTGCATAATTTACTGCCTCCCAAACATGAGTCGGTTTACCAACTCAGGAACAATAGACTGTTTGAACGATTCGAAACTAATACAGAAAGATTTAAAAAAACTTTTATTCCTATGTCTAGTAACTTAAGTTAATATCTATCTAAACTGCCTTTAATTTAATAAATACTAATAGCTTTATCGATAAACTTTGAGTTTGCAATAAAATGATTTCAAATTCTCGCATGCAAATAACTTTGCTTTCTTTTTTTATTTAAAAAATTCAATATAATAAAAAAAGGAATCAATATTAAAGATACACTGAAATTATATGATGTTTTGTTTAGTTGTTTCATATACGCAAAGGCCGTCGGGTTTTAAAGCAATTATAAAATCAATATTTAAAACAAACTTATCTTCGTTAACGTTGGAATGATTGCCTTCTTTTAGCCGATTCTTTCGCCCTTTCTTTCTGAGAAGGCTTTTGAAATTCACAAAATCTTGCAAAAATGAAATATATTTGCAAGAAATTTATCAATCATCAAATCAAGAAATGTTTGCTATTTCGCTGTCGTCATGCAGTCGTTATAATGCAAACTTTAAATTGGACCAATCAGTGTCCGCTATTCATGACAATCGTCTGTTAGTGTTACTAAATACGCTATTTGAGATCAGTGAGGATGACCACCCACCCAACACTCCAACATCGTTGGTGACCCACGCTCGCGGTCATTGATGAACTTTAGACTTCGCTAATGCTTTCGTTTCCTCGGGTGTAAATAGCTGGGGGGAATTAGTACCTTCGCACGGCGCTTCGCGCCGTCGGCTCGGGGACTAGATTTTGAATTTTAGTATATTAAATATTATCATATAATTATGCAAAGCTTTACAGCTGTAATAAATATATATCTAGCTATCTATGTACTAGACAAGAATTACAAATTGTAAGTGAAATGCTGCGAGTAAATACTGGAAGTCCCTGTGTTTTCCCCATTCGTCTCTTGGGTAGTTGGGCAGTCTTCAGGATAGTAATGAGGGCCACTAATGAAGGCCACTGTGAGGGCCACTAATGAGGGCCACTAATTTATCAGTAGCTCACGCTTACTGTCATATGTTATCCTCGGTAAATAAAGTCAATGAAATGAATGAAATGATAGTAAATGCATGTCTTAAAGTTCTATAAATTCGCATTAATTGGGTATGAATTTATTATCATTTGCATCAGGCATGTACCAGCGTACCACAAACATTTCGTGAATGAGAATCAAACAGATAAATACAATATTTTATTAAAGCCATATTAATATGGCCTTCTAATATTAGAAATGCATAAGTATTGCTTGAAAAAGCATTCATCAAAGTTGAACATAAAGTATAGTACAAGCTGTGATTGTTGTGCTTGTCGAACGCATTAATAGTTCTCCCTTCATAAAACTCTTTGTAATCTACTCACCATAAAGGTGCGTTGTTTCACGAGTTTTGATCTACCACAACTGGGTCAAAATTAGTTACCCTGATAACTGATAAGCGACTCAACATCCGCCCTTTTTGATTCAGCCCAAATACCGTCGCTTGCAACCAAGGTGGACAGTCGCAGATAAAAACATTGCCTATTTGTGTGAGAATCTTCAATGTTTGTCAAGACCACTTGACAGGTTTTAATCTGATCAGCCAATCACGTTTAACCGGCTCCAAGCTGATTACATGATCATCACAAACATTGAAGTTTCTTGGTAAAAACATTGTACTTTGTCATGAGAATAGACAATGTTTTTTTATCTACGACTGTTCATCCTTTAATAATAGTTGCAAGCGACGGTATTGAAGCGAATCGTTTGTTTGTCTAGTATAAATTTGCATAGTGTTTGCGTCAAGAAACCATCGCATCTCACGGTCCAGGGACAACGCAGGCCCGTAGCTGAGGGGGGGCCTGGGGGGCAATGCCCCCTCACTCGGTGGGGCATCTCATCTCAAACCCTCTGTTACATTCTTTCTGCAGTGCCCCCCCAGAAATCGAGAGCCAGCTACGGGCTTGGCACAACGTCTCTGTGGCAGGGATGGATCTACTTTCAAAAGCATCGAGATGTAAAAGTCGATCTCCCTCAGCAAGAATCTGATCTACGTTAGATGCGGTCCACTGTTGGATCGGCAAAGTCTGAGCAAATAATAACGCTGAAAAACTCATAAAAGAAATTACATTGTCTTCCGCGTGAAATGTCACTATAAAACCGTTAGCTACCTTGATGAATGTTCCAGCAACAAATAAATTTAAATTTGACATGATTTCAATAAAAAAACTTGCCTAGTTCTTGCCTTTTTATGACTAATGACTCTATGCTAATGATGAAGTCGCTGCACATACATACGCGTGCTCAAAATCATCCTGACAAACAAAAATCGCACAAATCGAGATATATGTCAAGAATAGGGGGCTGCTCGCCGGCGCTCGCAGCAATAAAACATGAGCAGCCGATCTTTATCTGATATAAAAACTCGAGCCGAAGGCGAGAGTTTGTATATCAGATAAAGATCGGATGCGAATGTTTTATGTGCTTATAAAACGACTTATCTTATGAGTTCATTGACATTGGCGAAGTAATTTTAAAAATAAACATTGTCTAAGCCGAGAAAATCAAAGCTGAAGTTTATGTAAATCAGGACAAATCTTTATGCGATTTACAAACATTGATTAATTAAACATTCATTTCTTTTGAATTTTCTTCATAAATTATTAACCAGTTTTT